GTTAAACACCCCTGGGTTCAATCCCCAGTACCAAAAACAAACAAAAGATGAAGAAATTGTGGTAGATATACACAATGGAATATTACTCAGCCATAAAAGAAGAATAAGGTTGTGACATTCACTAGTTAGTGGATAGATCCATAGACTACATTGTTAAGTAAAATAAAACAATCCCAAGAAACCAAAGGTCGAATGTTTTCTCTGATAGGTGGATGCTAACCCACAATGCAGGAGTTGAGAGGAAGAATAGAACTTCAATGGATTAGACAATAGGGAATGGAGGGTGGATAGAAATAGGAAAGAGTTTGAATGAATCTAACTTTCCTATACATATGTGCAAGTCACAGTGAATCTCACCATTGTGTACATCCACAAGACAGGAATCCTGATTAGAATAAGACATTTATACAAGCATGGAATACATCAAAATAGTTTCTACTGTCATGTATAACTAAAAAGAAAAAATAAAAATAAATGAGCAAAAGGAATATCAGTAGAGGAAGGAAAATAGAGGGAAAGTATGGAAAGGGACATTGAAATCAAATTCCTTGAGTGTATGGTTTTATCAAAATGAACCCAACTATTATGCATAACTATAAGGCTATAAGAAACTAAAATTTTAAAATACTGATTTTAGACTTCTGATCTCCAGAAATGTAAAAAAATAAATTTTTCTTTTAGCTTGTTAAGTTTCTGGTAACTTATTAACAGCAGCAATAGGGAACTCCAATACTCCAGCTCAAAACTTTGGTTTTGAGCTCTCCTGCTCTCTACACAGACTCATTTGAAGATCTTAATCAACCCTTTGAGCATTAAATGTCTGATGATACAAGTCTCAAATATTTATCCCTAGCTAATGCTCTTTATGTTTATATACTCAACTATCTCCTTAACACGTGCAGTTGTACATCTATAAAGAATCTCATGTGTATCAAAACTCAATTCCAAATATGCTCCCACAAAATCTTCAATAAAGAGCAACTGTATTCTAGGTTTTTAAAGCAAATCTTTGGGCCTATGACTCATTCCCTATCTTTGAAGCCCCATATACAATCTACTAATTTTCCTAGTTTTACCTTCAAATGTATTCAGAATCCAAGGGCTTCACAGTACATTCTTCACTATCCAAGTTGTCCTAATTGTCACATCACCTTTTACCTTGATTATGGTCATCACAATAATTTTTCACTTTTCCCTTGTTCTGT